AATAATAATATAATTTACCCTTAACTACTGTTTGGTTATCTTGGAATATTTTATTCAAGATATGCTGATTGAATTTAAGACTATGCATTTGATTATGTGTATATGTGAGTGACAGGGTCTTCAACCTCTTACATGGATGAGGATCACCTTGTCTCTCTGATCTTCAGGCACATTTTATTAGGGTGCACAATATATCACCACATCTTTGATCCTCTTGCCTTCAGTTTCCCAAGTGCTGGGGATACAGAAACGTCTGCCAGTGCCTGGCTGGTTTTATGTTTTGTTTTTCTTTTCCCCTCATTATTCTATCTTTAAAGGTGGAAACATTTAAAAATTGACATCTATGTCCTTTGTTGTGTCCCTAGTCATTTTTGACAGATATTTGCTTTGGGACTAACTAAAATCTCTTAAGGTCATGTTGAAATCTTTCCCCTGAGATATTAGCTTCTCCTCCAGCCCAAGTTCAAAGTGATTTTTGAAGGGACTAGGGTATTCCCTTTGAGGAGCTGTTACAGAACAGTACAAGATAGAGTGCCATCATGTAAAGTTACAGCAGTGTTCTCACTGTGTGTTTGAAGCTGGAAGTACTTAGGAAATACCACTGATTGCTGGAATATTTGGGTCTGTTGTAAGGGAGTCATGGTGAGGATTGTGAAAGAACATGAGTGTGGGTGAGTAAAGGAGTTTAGCCTGAATATGGATGGTGTCCTTTGACTTTGGTCTTAGATTCTTGGAAATGAAGAGTGACATGGAAAGCCATACTTTGGGAAGGATGATTTGGGGGCTGGACTCTTGGTGCATAAGCATGGGTACCTCAGTTTTGATCCTGAGCTGGGCCTCATAAGCCTGTAGCTCTAGTGCTGCAAGGGAAGGAGGAGGAGACAGGAGGAGTGTTGGGGCTCAGTGGTCTACCAGCCTAGCAGCAAAACAGTGAGGTTCAGGTTCTGTAGATACTGTCTCAAGAGACAGGTAGAACAGGACTCTCATCTTTCTCTTGCATCCACATGAAGTTCGATCTTGAAGCAGAGTTTTGGCTTAAAGCAGTGATTCTTGGTTAGGGGTGAGATTGTTCATCAGGTAAAGATGTCTCACAGTCTCTGTTCCATTCACAGGATCCACATGGTGGATGGAGAGAATCATCTCCCACAAATTGTCCCCTGACACACAAAATGAATCCAATGTAATAAAAAGTTAAAAACAAAAATCTAGTATTTGATGCCTACCTTAAAAACTGTTGAATCC